TTGCCGAGTGATATTCCAGGGTTACCAGCCCTGAAAAGTCAGTGGAAGACTCTTTGGGAGTCTCGTGGTGATATTGTAGAGGGCTGCCTCAGATTGGCAAAGAGCATTAAGATTGATGAGAGCCAGGGAGCCATAGCTGCTGTTTCAGCTTACCCTTCCTACCCTTCTGTAAAAGGGAAAGGAAAGGGGAAAGGCAAAGGAAAGGGCTTCAGAGGAAAGGGCCGGACCTGGAAGGGCAAAGGTCGATTTGGTTTCCGGAATAGAACCATTTATAAGAGCGATAACTCTTTATCACCAGTGAGATGTTACTGTTGTAATGGTCGTGGCCATGTAGCTAAGGATTGCCCCAGTCAGCCCAGTAGTAGCGACAGTAATAATAATGTAATCATGGGTATGCTAGATACTAATGAGAGCCGTTATCTCTCTGTTACATTCAGATTAACCGAGAGCAGTGATAGCATCAGGTATGGGATGATCAATACTGGATGCACAGTAAGCCTAGTAAGTGAAAGGTTAGCAGATGCAAGTCATTGTTATCAGGTACACCCTGTGAGCCAAAAGCTGATGCTCGGTAGTGTCGCCGGGAAGTGTGAAGCGTATAAACTCAATAATGGTCCAGCATTAAGTTTGTGTGGTGTTATAGTTCAACCGTGGATACTGCGAAAAGCAAGTATACTGTCAATTGGTGAAAAGAAGATAGATGCAATATTTGGTATGGATTGGGTAGGATCATGCGGTGAGCTAGTTATTAAACCAATAACAACTAGTAATGAAGTAGTTGAGATAAATCTAAATCATGCTGCAGGAAATGATGTAAATGAAAACTCACCGATATCTTTTGGAGTTGCGGTTCCATTACGGGACACAGTGAAACACAATAGTGAAGAAAAGAATACACCCAAACGAAAAAGATCAGAATTAGAATCGAATATCATATCGAAAAGTAATGGAAAAGAACTCATAATCGAGCAACCAGACCTGACACTTCGTCGGAAAGAAATAGAACCGAATGATTTTAGGTGGGAAGTTGAGTGGAAATGGAAAAATAAACCCGAGTCAGTTGTATACAAGCCACCATATTACCCAGGTGCAATGCAGAAACTATCAAACGCAGAGTTAGAATTGTACCATAAGTCAATAGATGATATGATTAATAGAGGGTATTTCGAACCAATTGATCCAAAAAACGTGAAAGGATGGATAACTACCCTCCCCGTAGTTTCACTCGGACGTACTACACCAGTAAGAGTATGTCTAGATTATACATGGTTAAATGAAAGAATTGAATCATTTCCAAATTCTGGCGGAAAGCCAACATCAGCAACGGAAGTAATAAGAGTATGGCGTACATGCAATCCAGAACACAGTTTCATCGTAGATATCAAACACGCATACATGCAATTACGTGTACCCCCAGAGCAACAAGTATATCAATGTTGCAGATTCGTTCATTTGCCAAAGAATCAACAAACATATAAAATGACACGAGCGGGGTT